CCCCCAACCCCCCCCGCCGCTCTACGCCACAGATCAGGAGATTTTCAGGGTCTCCTTGGGGCGGCGGCTGGGGTTTGGTGGATGCCCACCGAGCCCGAGAGGGTTAGGACAACAAACATCTTTCTGCTGAGCTGGCGCGGTTCGCGCCGACGCTTCTCCTCGAGACCGAACGCTTGCTCGCGCGTTCTCCCGCCCGCCACTCCGCGCGCTCCTCGCTCTCAGCCTGCTGACCTGCTCTGATTCTTCTCCCCCCTACGCTGTCCCCCTGTTTTGGTGGCCTTAGCGAGAAGAAGGACCAGCTCCAGGCTGGCCATGTCCCCTGGAGCAGCCGTTTAATGTGTAACGAGGGACCCGCTGGCCCAGCAAGGGGAGATGACAGATTAACCCAGTTTAGAGCCAAAGAGCAGGGGGTTTGCTGGTAAACTGTCCTGTTCCTGCGAGCTTCAAACGCCTTTAATGAGTTATTATTTAGTCTGCTATGGAGGTTAATGGGAGGACATCGCAGAAATGATCTGTGATTAATTAAACCATCTTTATCCGGCGCGGGCAGGGCAGCTGGGCTTGCTGGGCTGGACGCTAACCCACAGAATCCCAGAATGGTGGGGTAGGAAGGGACCTCTGTGGGTCACCCAGTCCCACCCCCTGCCCAAGCAGGGTCACCCACAGCAGGCTGCACAGCACCGTGGCCAGGCGGGGCTGGAATATCTCCAGAGAAGGAGACTCCACAACCTCCCTGGGCAGCCTGGGCCAGGGCTCCGTCACCCTCAGAGGGAAGAAGTTCTTCCTCATCTTCAGCTGGAGCTTCCTCTGCTTCAGTTTGTGCCCGTTGCCCCTTGTCCTGTCGCTGGGCACCACTGGAAAGAGTCTGGCCCCATCCACCTGACACCTACCCTGCAGATATTTAGAGGCATTTCGAAGGTCCCCTCTCAGCCTTCTCTTCTCCAGGCTGAACAAGCCCAGCTCCCTCAGCCTCTCCTCGTAGGAGAGATGCTCCAGTCCCCTCCTCATCCTCGTAGCCCTGCGCTGGACTCTCTCCAGTAGCTCCTCATCTTTCTTGAAGCGGGGAGTCCAGAACTGGACACAGGATTCCAGATGAGGCCTCACCAGGGCAGAGCAGAGGGGAAGGAGAACCTCCCTCGAGGACCTTCCCCGGGACAAGCGCCGGATCCCCGGCATCAGCATCGCGCCCGGTGCTGCCCCCCACCCTGCAGACCAACAGCCACCTTCACTTGGGTGCGGAAGAGCTGCCAGAAACAGGAGCTTTTCCCGCTTTTCCCTGGTTTTTTAGGCAGCGCCCCAAAGCCAGACCTCGTCCCGTTTGCCGCCGGCCCACGTGGGATGCAACTGGATGCATTTCAAGGCTCCTTCCCCAAATATTGAGTGCTGAGCCGGGAGCAGGCTGTGGCCAAGCTGCTCCCCGGGACGTGGGGACGCCGGCCGGTCCCGGCACCGGGTGCTCCCCGTCCCCTTTCCTTCGGCAGAGCTCCTGGTCCAGATCAGTGCATCCATCCTCCTCCTCCACAACCCATCCATGCTGCCCAGCATCCTCCACCCAGCTCTGAAACCCTCCTGTGCCGACGGCTCAGCCCTTCCCCGAGCACCGAATAATCCGGGTGGATCCTGACCCTTCCCGTTCGGACGCCGGGCTCCCCGTCCCCTTTCCTTCGGCAGAGCTCCTGGTCCAGATCAGTGCATCCATCCTCCTCCTCCACAACCCATCCATGCTGCCCAGCATCCTCCACCCAGCTCTGAAACCCTCCTGTGCCGACGGCTCAGCCCTTCCCCGAGCACCGAATAATCCGGGTGGATCCTGACCCTTCCCGTTCGGACGCCGGGAGACTCTGGCAGGTGCTCAGCACCGGGGTTTGGACCCGAAAGGATGAGAAAGCGGTGCCGCACCCATCGCCCGCAGCACCCCATCCCGTGTGGGATCCCATGGGGAGCCGGAGCGGCTCGTTCCTTCGGGATTT